ATTAAACTAAAGTATAATAATCTATACAACAACAACAAAAATCTATAGGTTGTATTAGGCATGTCATTCAAGCAGGTCGAATTAGGTCTATTTAAATCAAATAGATATATTTCATTTCAAGCTCGAGTCATTTAAATTTGAATTTTGGGTTCTTTTGATCAAGCCATTAAGATTAGAATCATCTCATATTTTGGATCTATTTTTTAATTCAAATTAGAGTTGATAGGTTTAGGGTATACATAAAATAACAGTAGTTAGTTGAAAAGGAGATTAAAGTTTTACTTATTTTATCCACACTTGAAGTTGTTATTTTGCCATACATATAAAACATGTGGCGGTCCAAAAGTATAAATGTTGAGAGATGAAAAGGAAGGATCGAGGGGCTAGTGGGGCAGTCGTTTCCTAAATTTTTTAATTTTTTTAATATAATTTAAGTTTTTTATTTTTTAATTTTTTTAATATAATTTAAGTTTTTTATATATTTTATTGATAAATTATTTTTTTTTATTAAAATTTTATTAGTCCAATCTTAAAATTTTATAAATTCGCCCCCTAACAATAAAACTTTTGTGTTCATCCTGTTCGGCTGTTTCGAGTTTCCTCCATGGACGTGAGGCTACTTTTGGTAGTGGCATTCCCACTTATCCCTCAAAATCATGAGTGTGTGTGACAAGAATTGCCTAATATTAAAGTTTCAACATTATTTTACAGTTTCCCACGAGACTTGACTGATTGAATCCCTTCGTTGAAAGAAAGAAAGAAAGAAAGAAAGAAGAGCAAAAACCAAGGAGTGTGTTCCCTAGTGCAGACCCAAGGTAAGGCTCCTTCAGCGCCGGTGTCCCCGCTTAGGGCTGCTGCCAAAACCAAACAATTGCTTACTGCTTTATTTAAAATGTTTGGGAAATGAAAACTAATGAGATCGCTTAAGCAATATCTTGAGTTTGAATCTTTGTGTATATAGAAAATTTTCGTTGAAAGACTCGTCCATTAAAATCAGTTGTGCGATGTGGATTAGTTCGAATTAGTTAGAGTGAAACTTTAAAACCGGAAAGACAACAAAGAAAATGCTTGGAAATTAAAAAAAACAATCATCTTTCCCCTCCATTGGAAACTTCTTTATACACAATCCCCTTCGCTGACATTCTGCACTCATGTTCCCAAGATTCACCTACCCTAATCTCTCATTCTCTTCCCTCCAATATTTCTATTTGATGTTATACTCAAGAGATGATCTTCGAAAACCACAACTACTCCACTAATTAAGAGTCTCTAATAGATCTCTCTGCTTACCCGAGCCTTCGAGAAATCTAAAGTATAACCAAGACCTCTGGCAAGTCTACGTGAAACACCACATGCTCATTTAATCCGATGACCTACTTATAATTATCCTATGCATGATACCACCAGTTAAGGATCATTGTAGATACCTATCAGCTAAGATTGAGAAAGGGGGTCAAACCTTGGCAATTTACACGTAATGATCTTCACCCTCTTCTTCATGACCAATTCTCTCGTAGAGCTTATATAGAGCCAGTCAAATGGTCGTTCTCTAACCGACCGCAACTCGTCGCCCAAATCAGTAGTCGTAAACCAATTGCAGTATTGCTAGTTTGATTCTAAATGGATATATACATATAAGCGAACTACCTGTTACTTGATTAACCAAATGCAAGCATGATAATGGAGCAGAAAGGTGGGGAAGTTAAAATAATACACCATGATTCTAGAAAAAGAATAGTACAGTCAAAAGGGTTTTCAATTTCCTTTTCTTATAGGTTTTTAAAGGAGAATATTTGAGGTGCATGCGCAATAGGAGGAGTTTGAACTGTATTGAGTACAAACCAAGCATGGGGAAACCCTAAAAACCCACTTTTGACATCATTTCCCTCACCTTCTTCGCCTCCCCATCCCTAGGCAAAAACCCTTCCCTTCCTCTCTTATATCAACATCCCCTCACCTCTTTTCTCCTTCACTCAATCTCTAATCTCCCCTTCTTTTCCTTCTTCCTATTGTTTGGATATTGATCACTATCTTATACATATGATTTATACATACGTGTGCTCACAGTGACAGATGTACGTATATTTCAGGGTGGGCAAATGTCAGTCCTGAATTTTAAATTTCTTTCAGTTAGTTATTTGTTTTACAGATATACTGAATGTGTTTCCCGTGAAATTTTATTCCTGCATCTGTCACCACTGTAAACATGTTGACAGCTTTTTCTTTTATTTCTTCGCTTAAAAACCCTAATTGAGTTGAACCCTTTGAAAAGTATGTCTTGTTTTTCTTATTGATTTGATGGGCAATGAGCCAACAGTATGATGATCTTTAATGAATAATTTGCTGAAAACGTCGAGGTTTTTACGTTTTCTTATGAATGATTTCATGTTTTGTGTGCCCCCAAAAACATCATATCTTTACTGTGTGATTCACTGTCTTGCTTCTGGATTATTGGTCTAGACTTTTAGATGGTCTTCCATCATGATTAATTTCACTGACTAGTCATAGTAATTGCACCCAATTTGCCTTGATTTTGACTCAATTCAAGGAATACAGAATCATGAATTTAAGATCCCACTATGTCATTAATCATTATCATTTCCATCCACCATTATCACCTTCCTTTTTTCCCTACCAAAAAGAAAATCAAATTTATTTTCATGGGGGACCCTAAATAACTTTATTTCAACTACTGCTTATAAAAACACCAGAAACCAGTAAAAAGCCTTTAACGCCGATCATGGTGTGTTTCTAGTTGCATCCGTGGGAATTTAATTTTGTGAATGGGAGAATAAACTTTTCTGGGTGCTTGGGAAGCAAAAAAGAAATGCGATGTTGGTGAGGTTCAATCCGAAGACGGATTTACGGATGATTCGGTCGTAAAATCCGATCTCAGATTGAGCCGCGCCAATATCACTTTTCCATTACTCTTCTAGTCTGCTTCCTAAGCTCACCCCTTATTCTCCTTCTCCTCTACTTCATATTCATTTGCAGACCTAAATCTAAACTCATGCATGTGTGTACATATAATGCTTGTCAAACTCAGATCATCTAGAAAGAACAATATTACATTATGCAGGTCTATGAAGATTGGGCTCAAAGATAAGTGTGGATGGATCGAGGGGTTATAGGAGCTATTGTACTATCTCAGAAGCTTTAAATTTTCATATAGTTTAAATATATTCATTATATTTTTTATTGATAATTTATTTGTATTTTTCTAAAATTTTATTAGTTCATTTCCTAACCTAAAATTATACGTATTTCTTAGCATTCAACCCAGCATAGTAAACTTGATGCTGGTGCCCATTATGATTATGTTTATGAGAAGCTGCAATCCATGAGTCTCTACGAAGGTTGTGTTGAATCCCACTCTTAGATAACTGGGAAGATAAGCATAACCGTGTTTTGAGAATTTTTAGAATATATATTATCTTATAATCAACATAAATTAATAAAAAAATATTATGATAATGTGATTGATGTATAAATTAAAATGCAAAGAATCATGGAGAATTCATGATGTGAGATTCTACTTGCATGCAAATGTGAACATACCTAAATTGTTCCTAATCATAGTATTAACAAGATAAGACATTGTTAATGTAAATATACTAGCACATCACATGTTATACTCTTTAATTAGGTCAAACATTTTTCTTCTTCTTCTTTTATTGTCCTCCAGTTTCAAGGTTTTGCCTTGCGATCAATCATTTCTTACCACAATAATGTTTTAACTATTTTATTAATGTGTTATGTCAACATGTTTCTGCTATCTTAACGGCAGATAATGGATAGATAATCAATCTATAATAAATTGATAATGTCGGTGATTAAAACTTAAACTTTAATTATCAGGGTAAAATAAAAAATGGTCTCATGATTATAGGGTACTATTTTATTAAGTCATTTGACTATTAAAATTTACAAAATGGTCACTCGACTATTCATTATGTTCTAAACTTATCATTCTCTATTAAGAAATTAGCAGTTATTTTAGGTGGACATTAACATGATGATTGGAATATAAATATGATAGTCATTTGAAAATCTAGGATAAGATTTTATCATATCACATTCAACAGGTTCACGTTTAGCTCAAAATACCGTCCTTTTTTTGATGAAAAATGACGAGTTTGGAACATAATGAATAGTCAATTGAACATTTTGTAACTTTTAATAGTCGAGAGACTCAACAAAGTAACACTCTATAGTAAGAGGGCTATTTTATAATTTTTAATAGTTGATGGACTTAATTTACCCTAATTATTAATGAAAAAAACACTTACTTAAAAGCTGAGTGACCAATTACTTCCGGAATGAATGGATGTCCTATTGAAATTTGATTTATGCATAGATTCATTAATTGATCGAGTAGTTAAGGATATTCACATTATAATATTTTATGTGAGTTTGTATTCTAGAATTTATTTTAAAGGGACCAAACGACCTTAGTGGTTAAAAGGATGATTGTTATCTCTATAGGTCCTAGATTTGAGCACCAACGACTACAAGATATTTGAATGCTCATTATCAAATGATTTTTTATCGAATATGTCGGGACCGCCTTTCTGGTGGGCCCGGAATTGAGCTTCGACTTGAATTAATTGGGTTAGGAGTCGCCACCAATCACTTTAAAAAACATTTAGGTGGATCGGACACCATCTTACCTGATCTGCGTTTTACCAGAAATGTATCGGGTTCGGGAGTCGGTTACGGTCAAGGAAGGATTAGCACCCTTGAACCGCCCTTTCGGTATCAATTAATTTATCGATTGTCTTTGATTGCGAAAATTGAATTATTTAAATTAAAATTTAAAAATACGATTTGAAATGATTACCTTTGATCGGTTGGATTCCCTTAAAAAATCAAGATAAATATTAAAGGATGAAATATATATATATATATATATATAAAAGGAATAAAACAAAATAAAAATAAATAAATAAATAATGATAAATAAAATTAAGAACATTAAAAAACCCTAGGTCCCTAGGCCCTCATGTTACCGCCTCTCTAGCAACAAATTTGGTCTCCCACTTGACTCCATTGGAATCCATGGTGCAAATGAAGGGTTTGTCTTCATCTCCTAATCCAGCAATTATAGGTTGGGAGAAGTATGGACCAAATCTTTTCTCGTAAAGAATAGCAGAAACAAGGTTAGCAAAAGTCTCAGATTTCATGTCCCAACCAACTCCACGCCTTGCCAACGACCTCCACGAGCCACCAGTTGGGCGCAATAGCCTACTTCCAATTAGTTCTCGATCGTAGTCATGCCCCCTTTTAACTTCCGCAAAACAGATTCGTAATCTGACACGTTGTTGACATGAAGCATATGCCATAGTCCAACACCCATTACCTAACGTTTACGGTTCCCACACTGTTCGCAACATCAACAGCCCACCCGAAGAACACATCGGAAATAACACAAACTGGTGGTCTGCCCTGTTGTTTAACTATCTCCAACAACGCATAATGAAACGGGGTTCTCAAACAAACAGACGAAGAAAAGAATTTACCGATAAGATCCAACATCAAGTTCTCGGTGTTCTCCGTGTTAGGCGGCAACCCGTGATCAGAACTGGTGAACGGAAGCTCGAACAAGCGGATTCCGGGATTGGGTTCTTGTCGGAGAGTGGAACGGAGGTATTGGATGTTGAGAGGAGTATTGGCAATGGCGACGTTAAAGCCGGTTTGGTGATGGATTTGCTTTGCTAAAGCTAGAAATGGAATGAGATGGTCGTGACCCATGAAAGGAAACATTAATATGTGTATGTATTCGTCGGCAGAAACCATGATTGAGCTTGCTGAAGATGGTTTTTTCTGGTAAATTGCGGTTGCAGACCCATAGTATTGAATCTGGTTTTAAAGAGCAATAATGGCGGTCCCTTTTGATGTGGGAAGAGACCTTGTTCGTTCCCCGTGGTTCCTGGCTGGTTCATGCATGGTTGCAACAGTTTGGTTTCTTTGGGATACATGAAACTGACGAAGGTTGTTGATTCCCGGGCCATGAGCGTTTGCTTCGTTCAACACTTGGTAGATGAACATGTCTTGAGAACCATACTCGTTAAACGGCAGCTGATGATCACTGGCCCCGTTAAACGGCAGCTGATGATCACTGGCCCCCTTCCAGTTTTCTTCCCCTTTTTTTGTCTTTTTTGATGCATTGTTCTTGCCTCCCCCTTCACGCAATATATTGCCCCCTTAAAAAAAATGAGATTTGTTTTTTAGTTAGTTAGTGGGGGTAGTGGAAAGAAAATGGAGAGCAGTCTTGAGTTGTTTTGGATTGATTTTAAAGTCCCAAATTATAATAGGTACAACTATAAATTTAGTCCTTTCATTTTTTTCCTTTTTAATTCCCGGACAAAATTAGGGTATTACAGAATACAAAACACAATTTTATTAATTTAAATTTTTGGATATCTAAAATTTTGAATCGAATAATATTGGATATTGAAAATGCACACTACTATATTCTGATTAAGGTTTTCATTAAGCAAATGAGGTTGGTTTGGGCCTTCGGCAACTGGAATACTAAAACAGAGACAGCATTTTGATGATTATGGGCCATAGTAACAAAATCAAACTCTATTTGCGTTAATTGGGTTGAGGAAATTTCATCTTTATGGGTCGGGGTTTTAATTTAAATTTGATTCTGGTTAAATTTTTGGGTAAACTATGCACTTAGTACCTAAACTATCAATTTTAGTCCGTTTTAATATTTAAACTTTCATTTTTTCTTCAAAAACATATCTAACGTTTAGTTTTTGTTTCATTTTAGTACTCCACCATTAAATACTTAATGCGTTTAGTACCTAAACTATCATTTTTGGTCCGTTTTAGTACTGAACTTTCAATCTTTTTCAAAATTTAACATTAAATTTTGAACATGGGTACTAAAATCAAATAAAAACTAAACTTTAGGTATGGTTTTGAAAAAATTGAAAGTTTAGGTACTAAAACGAATCAAAATTGATACTTCAGGTACTAAACGCATAATTTATCCTAAAATTTTTCTTCAAAGTGATATGGTCAGATTTAAATTTATGGTAAAAAATTTGATCTGATATAATATTATAATTATTATTTATATATTTAGGGATAATTATAGTGATGTCTTTTTCTATTTGTTTATTTTTAATTAGATCCTTATTTTACCTAATATATATATTGGGTTCATGTTTTAACCTAAAAACATGTTAGGCTTCAGGTTAGGTGGGACTCTCTTAAACCCAAGTTGAGTCGAGTGCGAGTGGAAGATTTCAATTTTTTAGTGAAGTTCAAGTGAATCAAAAATTCAACTTGACCTGACCCGTTGTTATCCTTAAAAGAATGATTACCTAAAATGGGTGGTATAACTTCAAAAAGTTTTCATTTTGAGAGCTTTAAGCTTGGAAGGCAATAAAAGGTTGAGGGAGGAAGAATGAAGAAAACCTTGTGGGGGAAGAGAGTGAGTCAAGTGCTTATAAAACACCTCATAAAACTCCACAAAGATACAAAAAAAATTGGTGTAGACTTGTTTTCACAAAATCGGTAATTACCCCACAAGTCCTCCCCCTATAAGTTGGAGTGTAAAACTCTCCCTTTTGACTAGTTAATTCTAATCAGTTTGATTTTCATTTAAATATGATATCTTATGCTCGACCGGGCAACAAGTGTTAAACCAATAATCATATTTGAAAATTTCTAGCCAAGTGTTTTCAAGATCAACATCTCTTGTACGAACTGAATGAACTCAATAGTTAAAGGATAGTTGTTATCCCTAGAGATATCAAGTTCGAGCACCAGTTATTGCAGAGTATTTAAGCGTTCATCGTCTAATGGTTTAAAATCTTTAGAGCAAATACTACCGGTACGTATCCTCTCGACAATAATGGCCATCATCAATATTCATGGACAAAATTGTTCATTTTTTTAGGCCACTTTTTCCCCACGATGGAGGTACTTGTTCTCTTCTTTTCAGCTTTTTTGGGATGCGGATTTTGTTTGAATTGGGGAGTTTCATACAGAAATGTTGATAATCAATGCTAATAATAGAAAACATTGGCAAAATTGATTCCAAAGCTATTAAACTTTAATTTCCGAAAAGGAAAGAATTATAATTTTAACTTAAAGCATTAGGATCAAAATACAAAAAAGTTAAAATTATAATCCTCGCTTCACTAAAAAGAAAAAGAAAAAAAATCTTGATAATGCACTAGTACTCTAGCACGTAATGCTGGCAATGCTGGCAATGCACCCAAAGGTAAAAAGCCTAAAGCCGTGGGAAAAAAGGTAGCAAAGTGGTCTGCCCAGGTGGTGGTCCACGTTAAATACTGTATCTTTTAAGGCAAGAATGATTTGATTCCCAATCCCACATCGGAATCGATCGCCCCAAATGCTTCAAACAGAACAAAGGGGTCCATGTAGGATGCGAAAGGCTCTTCATCAAACACAAGGTTTGAGTAGTTGTGGTGCATCATCAGCGGTGTTCCCGTCGTCTCGTAGTCGAGACACCGGACCACACGTTCCATCCACGCACCGGCGGTGACGTCTCGAACGCCGACGTTATCGTCTCCGTTCGCTTCTTTGTTTTCGTCCAAATCATGCGATATTTGCCTCGGTTTCTTGCTGTCGTGATCCTCGATATTGTCATCGTGTCGTGTGATCGAGTCGATGGTTTTTCTTTTTTCGCCTAAAAGGGTTTTCTTGTTCAAATGTGTATTCCAATAGTTCTTCACCTCGTTGTCGGTCCGACCGGGAAGTCTACCGGCAATTAAGGACCATCTACATTTTTTTAAAATGAAGATGTAACGTTGATCACATGGACAAAAAATATAAACTATGCCAGAAAATACGAAAGTTTGTAATTCGAATTACGGTATAATCTAATAAATCCATGCAATTATCTCTAAAATATGACATTCAAGGTTAAAAATTCGAATACTAACCGGTTACCGAGAAGCTTGTGCATTCGGATAATAAGGTCTTCTTCCTCCTTGGACATTCCTCCTCGTTTGATGTTTGGTCTCAAGTAATTCTTCCATCGAAGTCTACAACTTTTCCCTCCCCTCATCAACCCTGAAAACATATACATATATTTTCTATAAGTTGCATATAACCCGACATATAATAAAACTAACACAAGAACACGTTGAATACCATCGAATCTCGCCCATTAACTCCCAAGTTGCCACACTACCAGACTAAGATATATTGAACCCTGCATCTCCATTCATGCATAATATAACTTGAAAAGTAAAACCGAACGAAAATCCGATTGTGTGTGTGTGTATATATATATACCTGATCTCTTAGACACAGTTGCCCAGTTGCCTTCTCCATAAGTCTCTACATAGTTTTTCAAGATCATGTCTTCTTCTGGTTTCCATAAACCTCTTTTGGGGTGCGCCTTCTTTTCCTTACGATTCTCCATTCTCAATTTGCTTCCTCTGATCTCTCTATCTCGTGTTGACTCACTCACTCGGCCCGAAAAGGAAGAAGACGATCATTAATGCACCGAGTTAAATGAGAAAGGGATGATGATTATATTTATGTGTATATAGAAAATGACAAGTCTATATAGCCAACTGAGATGTGCAAGGCATTCGTGCAAGGGCCCCTTTGTTCATCAACTTTGCTTTACTTTCACACCATCTCTCTCTAATATGTAAAAGCAAACTAGCAAAGCAACGCATATATTATTGGATTAAAATCCGTAATTATAGTATATTGTATAATGTTATTATAAAGTATGATACAAAATTAAGTGATCATATGTTTCATGTGTCACAGGTATTAAAACGTAATAAAAATAAAATATAGATCATAAATTGTATTTATAATTTGATGAGGGATAGAATTATAAAAACTTAAAAGCTGACCTAATATTCAGTTTATATGAAGGGTAGTGGTCTCCAAGAAATAGATTAACTTGAATTACTCTTATCCTATTAGAGAATTTTTTACTAAAGAGAAAATATATATATCTTCTTGAAAGATTTTAATCTTCTAGGTGAGCTCTAACAATAGACTTTGGTATGCTTCCGCAAATTTATTATTTTATTGTTAATGATTTGACATGATTATATATATCATTAACTTTCTCCCTAAATATTCAAAGAGCAGGGATGAATCAGGGTGCGGGCGGCTAGGGTCGTCATCCCCTAAAAATTTCAAATTATAATATATTTTAAATTTTTTTTTGTATTTTCTATTCATAATTTATTTTCGCTCCTAGAATTTTATAAGTTCATCCCTCTTACAATTTAGAAATCCATCCCTAAAACAGTGACGAAGCCATGGTTTAATATTGGCGGGGCCAAAATATTAGACTTTTTAAGAAGTATATAATGACTTATTAGGTATTTAAACTCAAAACTTAGAAGACAGAGCCTAATTTATCTAATATTAAAACTCGCAATGACCTAAATTGTTAATGGACCCAAAAATATGAGAATACGAGATTATCTTTCTTTAGTTTTGCCCCTACTTGATTAAACATTTAATAAATTCTTGTATTTTTTAATCTTAATATTTGTTTTTACATGAGCTAAAAAAATTACTAAACTAAAATTTATCGAATATATAAAACTTTCAATCGGGTAGAGTCCTTCTGAACCTCAACAGAACTTCTTCAGCTCTACCTTATCATAAAAAATCTGCGTTGAGGATGCATATACAAAGAGAGAGAGAGATGTTTGTAGTACCTCCTGGCTATTCATCCGAACATGTGTTATTATTACCAAGTTGAAAGATTTAAGTTGGGTATTCAACCGAACATATCTAATTATTACCAAATAATTGTAGTACCTACTAGCCATTCATCTTGTCGTAAAGTTAACTTCAATTTTGACATGATTTTGCATGTGCTTAATCATACTTTAACCAACAAGTGTTTAACTTGATCTCCATTTCTCTACCAAATTTATGAAATCCTAAACGATTAATTAATTGATCTCCAAGCACTTTTTAACTCAATAATTATGGAGACAAAGAAAAATAAATGAGAAATAATGTGACTAAAATGGCATTGGGGTATGTTAATGTTCTGAGGCACCACAATGTACATGTCTCCCCCATTGCAGCTTTTGTGAGCCCCATGAAATGAAATGCATTATTTAGTGTTTTCCTTTTTCTTTTCGATTTGCTTGTTATTATTCTTTGAAGATTCGAGTTCGAATATTAAGAATATAAAGAGTATCAACGTTTAATATAAATGATTGAGAGTTATCTTTAAATAGATATTGTCTTGTATTTATCCTAAATTAATTTAAAAAAATCATGTTCTCCTCCAATATTTTATTACATAATAGAAGACAGACAGCAACTAACATGGTGTTGGCCCTTGGGGTTAAACTAGCAAGTGAATGAAACCAGTCCAAGAGAGAAGACAAGCATTTGAAGTTAAAGAACAAGAAAGTTGGTTGCCAACTTACTCCCCAATTTGAAAGTTTGGGAACTCTGTGCATGTCAGAAACTACTGCTACACCATTATTCTCTTATATGTATGTATGTATGTATGTATGGTTTCATCAATTGTTCTTTTCATGTCATTGTCAAGGTGTAAAGGGTCTCCCTACCTTTCACGTCCCCTTTGCACGCATGATGAAGGCTGTGCAATAAATTCTCGGTCTATATCTCGCCATGGTGCAATATTGCTAGTGTAAATGACATATTATTTGAAGAATTATTCATGAATTGTTTATATAATGTTTATTTATGTTTGTTAATCGAGTTGAATAAATGAGTATGAACCAAATTTTTTATCTTCATTTAATAAATGAACGAAGAAGAAAAAATATGTGTTTGGTTCGTTTATGTTCACGAACAAATTCGTTTATAATTTATTATTGACTTGTTTATAAGCTTGTTTCTCCTTTTATTTTTTTTACATTTTAAATATTAGAAAGATAAGAACTAAATTTAACACAGTGTGAATTTTGAAGATCAAACAATAAAGTCTAACAGCATAAGGACTAATGAATAATTTCACCATTTTTCTTTTGTATGGAAAAAGGGTAAATTTGTGTTTAGTACCCAAAATATCAATTTTGATATGTTTTTGTACCTAAAGCTTCAATTTTTTTCAAACCATACCTAAAGTTCAGTTTTTGTTTCATTTTAGTACCCCTCCCTTAAAAACTTTAATTTTGTTCCATTTTTGTACCTTTCAAAATTTAATGTTACTTTCAAAAAATTGAAAGTTTAAGTACTAAAACGGATCAAAACTGATAGTTTAGGTATTAAACCGATAAGTTTTTAATGGTGGCATACTAAAATGAAACAAAAACTAAACATTAGGTAAGATTTTGACAAAAATAGAAAGTTTATTACTAAAACAGGCAAAATTAATAGTTAAGGTACTAAATGTGTTGTTTACCCTAAAAAGTACAACAAATATATTTGTGAACACTAAATAAACCGAACACAAATATTTTTAAAAATAAATAAACAAACAAAAATGATAAAAAAAAGTTTAAACAAACATAAATCAAATACAAATACTTTAAAAAATAAACAAATAAACACGAATACAATCCGTTAGTGAAAACCAATTAATTTACAGAGTAACCAATTTTACTTGAGAAATTTGGGTGCACATATTACGAAGTGTGTGCAATAATGTGTGTATACTTTTAAGCTGGCATGTTGGGGATAAGCTTTAGATCACGATTCTTTCCACTTTTCCCATCATTTCTGCAATCATATTTCACTTTGTTTATTCGTTCTTCTTCAATAAATCTTGCTTCCAAAAGGGTGTTTTTCACCATCAAATTCGATATTTACCTCCTTTGTATAAAATATAAAACATACAAATAGTCCCTGATTATTAAAAGTTATTAAATAGTCCCTTGACTATAGAAAATTATTTGTTGAGTCCCTCGACTATTAAAAGTTACAAATGGTCACCCAACTACCCAAACTCGTCATTTTTCGTTAAAATTTTGATGGCCGTCTGAGTTGTACGTTAACTTTCTAACTGAGACATTATCAAATCTTATCCAATAATCTCAAATGACTATCATATCTCAGTCAAAATGTTAACGTGTACGTCCAACTCAGACGACCGTTAAATTTTTAACCGAAAAGGAAGAGTTTGGAATATAAATAATAGTCGGGTGACCATATTGTAACTTTTAAATAGTCGAGGGTTCATTTTGTAACTTCTATTAATCAAGGGACTTAATAAAGCCTTATCTATAGTCGGGAGACCATTTGCGTACTTTACCCAAAAATATCATGTATCAGTTCAAAGCAATCTTCTTTCGTGGAAAGATTCTGCATTTGAGTATTGTGACAGTAGTAGTGTGACAAGATTCACATGCATGTATATATATTTTCAGATTGAGCAAATATACGTACATAAATATGGAGAGACCATGACTAGCAATATTAGGGAAATTGAGTTTCTTTATACCAAGGAATATTAATGTAATAATTTTAATAAGGATAAAGTAAATTTTAATCCCCGAACTTGGCATCTTTTTCTAGCTTGGTCCCTGAACCTTTTTTGGTCTACATTAATTCCTGAATTGGGTAATCTTTCCCCTTTTCAATAGATCGATACATGTAACACAATCTTAGAGTCACACTCATCATAAAGACTAAAAACCTCAATATTTGAAGGGGTCAAATGTGATTAAACCTTTTCTTGAAATGATAATATGTACAGGTTAAAGACGAGAGATAAAATTTAGGGGTCGCCCTCCTGCCAAGTCCTAAAATTTAGGACTAAAACCCCAGAAATATATTGAATAAACCAAGAAATCTAACTGACCCATTTGACATTTTGAGCTAAAGAATCCAAACATGAATATCCAACCTCCAAATTCAAAAGCATGCAATGTAACTAATTTTAACCATAATAATAAAGGAAAGAAAAAGGGTACCTCAGATTGAGTCATTAGATCTTAAGATGCGATCCACATATAAGGTGGCGGTGCATAAATCTGCAGAAAATCCCTTCCCGACCATTTCCTTAAAGAAGTTGTGTTGCCTTTGAGGTATAGTTGTTCGAAGAAACCCCTGGATCGTTCCGTTATAACAGTCGCTATTAGGCAAACAATCATCATCTTTGATGCTCCTAAACAACTTATATGCTTCATCTGGCAATCCCTCTTTACAGAGTCCATTGATCAATATAGCATATGCGTAAACATTCGGTTTTAAGCCATTGACTAAGAGATCGTGAAATAACTCCTTTGCGACTTTGATCTGCCCAGCTTTGCACAAGCAATCGATTAGGATTATAGGAGAAAATATCGAGTTTCAACCCACTGTTCCGTGTTGCTTCAAAAAGTTTCAATGCCTCTTCAAGTTTACCTCTTTTGCATACACTGTGCACCAAGATCGAGCAGGACACTATGTCCGGAACTTGTCCCAAAGCAACCATCTTCCTCAAAAGTTCACACGCAGCTGAAATTCTCCCTAATTGACACATACCGTGCATAAGAGTGGTGAATGTGACACTAGTAGGGATTGGTCCTTCCCGAGATATTTCATGAAAGAGTTCCATTGCTTCGTCCAACCTTTAGCTTTGCAATATCCTTTGATCATAATGTGTAACTAAATATATCAAGCAAACACCTGTTCTCAATCATCAATTGAAGTACTCTTCTAGCTTTATCCACGTTGTTTTGCGAGCAATGACTGTCTATTAATGCACTATAAGTAACAACATTAAGCTCAACGCCTCTCTTTATCATTGACTCAACAATATCATCAGCTTTAGAAACCATCCCGTTCTCGCAATGTGCATCAACCGATGAATTATAAGTAACAACAACATTAGGCTCAACGCCTCGCTTTATCATTGTCTCAACAATATCCTCAGCTTCACGAATCATCTCGTTCTTGCAATGTGTGTCAACCAATGCACTTAACCTTCGCTTCGGTGATCGAGAGCCTCCTTTAACGACCCGTTCTTACAAAGAGAGTTGACAACTGTGATATATGCTACAATATTGGGCTCGAAACCCCTTCCTTCCATCATCCTTAAAAGCCTAACAGCTTTACCAGTATGGCCGCTCTTACACAAACCCTTGAGTATTGTACAGTAAACAATCGAATTAGGTCGATAACCTTGTCCGATCATTTCATCAAACAAACTCACAGCCTGAAAAATCTTTGATTACAAAGTCCATTAATCAAAGTGGAGAAAGTAACAATACTGGCTTTAACATTTTCCCAAAAACAGAAAACCCTAAATCAATTCGACCTAATCGACAAAAGCAATTAATCAAGATGCTCAAAGAATAATCGTCGTGGGAGATTCCCACTGATTCCATCCGTCTACACACAGAAACAACATGGCATAACGTTTCGATCTAACAATGGCTCTTAATAACATGGTTTCAAATCACGGTCCGAAAACGTGATAGCGCCCGCGAAATAACGGTTTCGCCGCCATCCGAGCAATAGCAATTTGAAACCCTGCTTAATAATTTAGAAAATTCCACAATTGAAGGTTGTGGGTGCTCGTTAATCATCCGATTAAACAAAGCCAAAGCATCATCAGCATTATTGAAGTTATCACCAGGGTTTCAAAAAGAGGTCGAATAGCGGTATCGCGGCCGTTATATCGGGGTCACGACGGTGTCCAAAACTGCTGTCGCGGAAAATAATAGTGTGAAGCACGATCGCACCAATAGCGGCGGATCGCGGCCAATCACGACAATAGCGGACCGCTATTTTATTTTATTTAAAATATAGGTTTTTTATTAAAATAATCAGCTACTTCAAAAAAATCATGATCGCGATACCTATAATAACCACAATAGTATCATTATATCCGCAACCGTGATAAACGCGACGCGACTAAAAACGTGACCGCGAACGCTATTTAAAACCCTGACTATCACTCTTATTTCGCATTCCAGTTACAGACAGGGAATTGTTACTTACAGCTTCAACGTGGGTACGAAGATTTCTTGGAACATTAACAATTGAACGAAGAAATAGTGAAGAAATAAGCTTACCCATATCTTGAAATTGAGCAAAATGGAAAATGCAAGAGCTGGGCTTGAAATGAAATCCACAAATGGCGGCGGCACTAACAGTCTAACAGAACAACTATGTGAAGTGTTTGTTTAAGACTTTAAAAACAGGGTAAACTACATCGATGGTCACTGATGTTTGAGTAAATGTTTATTTTTTCCTACCTAAATTTCAAAAGTAAAATATTACTTACTAATATTATCGATTTGTAACAAAACTATAACTCCATTGTCATCCCGTTAAATTGATGATGTAATAATGTTAACAAAAAAATGATAATATTTAATTTATTGCTAAATATTATTAAAACATTAAATAAGTCATTGAATAATGATTTATATCTAATTTACTCCCAAATACTTTTTTAATTTTCATTTTTTTTCTAGATACCTCACCATTTTCATTATATTTGAATCACCTTTCACACGAATATATTTTTTATTTTGCAAGATAAAGAGATAATTTAAAATATATATAGAAATGAGCATTGTAATAATTATATTTCCATAGGAAGAGACATTATTAACTAATATCACACATTTAATTCTTAGATTTTTTTCTCTAATTTTCTCTCATTGGTATATCGTTCATTTTTTTTCTTTTCATCTTTATTGATCAATGATGGAATTAATTTTAATGTTGGTTGTCGATTATCGATATTTTTTATTATCCTTTTATTTTCTTTTATTTTTTATTTTTCAATAAGTTTACCTATATGGCACATTTTCTTCTATCTTTTGGCATTTTGTTGGTGTTTGGGCGTTGTTTTCACTTATATTTTTCTAATGGTTGATTTGACATCACCACGACTAATCAAGACGGCACTCATCTATAATGTTGTTGATCTTCCTTGCTTTGGACTCTCGGATTGGATTCAGATACCCATTATACATTTGTGGATAGTTTTTCACGTTGGTCGAGTCTGATTTGTGGTTTATCGATGGTCTTTAAGTAGTTTGATTCCCTTTTGTGGTTCGTTTGTCGATGCGATCAGATCTGTTTTATCCATCTTTGTTCAAGTTTCTTGGTTATATTTTAATCTTTCCTTATATGATCTTTATGTTATCTTAAGTTATTAGTTTTGTTTCAATGATTATAGAAAATTGTCCTAATTATATGCTTGATTTACAATTATGATTGTAAATCTTTATTGTGATTTGAATATTTTCTATTTTAAATAAAATTAGTGGTTTTTATAAAAAAAAATATTCTAAATTCGACTATTTCCCAACTCTGACTCTCTCCTTCATAAAACTCGTCTCGAGCCTAAAATTCAAACAAGACTAATTTTATAAAATCATATCAAAATCGATTAAAATTGAAATATTTAATTTTATTTTTTTGGGGGGTTATTTTCTTCCATTCCTCTTATAGACCCAACACTAGCAAAGGCTAATGTCTTGGGGTGTGCAAATCCGGGTACCCGGATTTTCGGGTACCGGATTTTCGGGTACCCGGAACTTCCAGGTCGACGATTTTTCGGCCCGTGTTTCGATCCGGATGTTACGGGTACCCGGATTTTGCGGGTACCCGGTAATCGGGTACCCGATATCCGGTTTTTAATTTTTTATTTTCAAATTATTAATTTAAAAAAATATATATACAAATTTAAATGTTCGAAACTTCGAATTACATACTCTAATATCCAAACATAAAATTTAAAAGTTCAAAATACAAAATATAATAATCCACAATATAAATAATTCATTATATTTTATATAATTATATATAAAAATTAAAAAAAAAAAAAAAACTAACCGGGTACTCGGGTAACCAGGTAACCGGAAAAACTAGATTTTGTGACCCGGGCCCGACCCGGGAAATGTCGGGCCGGGTACTCGACCCGGCCGGGTAATTTTTTTTAGAGAATTACCCGATTTTTTTAGATCCGGGTCGACGGGTCGGGTAATTTTGCACACCCTACTAATGTATATGGATAGCGCGACCATTGTTATCAATGCACTGAACAAAATTTGTAAAATCTATTTAAAAGATGCTTTAATTACTGCATTTGTATCTTTACTTTTCATTCCATCCCATGCCTAAAATTACTAAACGATGAACCCCTAATGGACCAACCATATAATTAATGTACTAACCCTAATGATATTTGGGGGGTCAAATTCATCCTTTAAAGGGAAAATTAGTGTAAAATCTGGTCATAATAGATTTTTCATTTTGGTGTAAACCAAAAACACGCTCAACCCTATCTAAGATGGGAACTTAGATAGCTTATAGGCCAACAAGATATGGGTGGTTTGAAAACGACCCATTAGTTGAAAGGCTCAAAAAATATTTTTAAATAATATTTTATTTTTAAAAAAAATATAAATGTGATACGTGCCGCATAGCAATTTTTAACGGTAGAAACTTAAAAGTGTAACGGAGAAAATAATAGACACCTGTTTTTAACAAAAAAAATTCTTTAAACACCAAAAATAAATTTTGGGTATAGTTTAGACACTTACTTTTGTACTAAGCCTAGTTGAAAAGATGTGTAAAAATTAAATTCTAAATGGGTTTTATCAAATAAATTAGGCTAAAGAACATAAACGTTCCCTGGTTATATGATATTGCTTTATTAGGTCTGTCGATTATTAAAAGTTTACAAAATAGTCCTCTAACTATAGGGAGTTTGTTTGTTGAGTCTCTTGACTATTAAAATTTACAAAATGATCACTTGACTATTCATTATGTTTCAAACTATTCATTTTCTATTAAAAATTTGACGACATACTGAGTGAGATATGATAAAATCTTATCTCATAATCTCAAACGACTATCATATCTCAGTTAGCATGTTAGCGTCCAACTCAGGAGATCGTTATTTTTTAACATAAAAGGATGACTTTGGAACATAATGAATGGTCAAATGACCATTTTGTAAGTTTTGATAGTCGAGTGACTCAACAAAGTAATCCCCTATAGACGAGTGATCATTTTGTAACTTTCAATAGTTAAAAGACTCAATAAAGCAATAATCTATATTCAGGGGAACATTGTATATTTTGCCTAAAAAATATGACATAAAAAATAATTAAAATGTAATCTAAAAATAATACATAAATATTAAAAAAATATAAGAAAAATTATAAATTTATAGGATTAATAATTTTAGAAATCCTCGAATCTGCACGAATCAACTTACCTCAGTGATTAAAGGAATCATTGTTGTTTTTAGAGGTCACAGGTTCGAGCACCAGAGGTTGCAACAGGATGATTGAGCGTTCATCATCAAATGGTTGAAAGTATTTAGAACATATACTACTTTGTAATCACCTTAGCTTAATCAGAAAACAAAAAAAAAAACCTTGAATTTTATGGGGGAAAATCAAAATTCTTGTACTTTTTACATCTAACTATTTTATTATACTCTAAAATTTGATTATTTCAGTCGTTTGATCGATGTTGATCGTTATATCTAACTGATTTTTGCATCAATTCATGCTGCTTGTTGCATCAAAATGTTTCCACATTACATTTCCAACTTTTTTTTTGTTTTTTCTTTTTTGGATTTTTAAAAAAAAAATCAATATCGATAGAACCGTAGTATGTCACTTGACTATAATATCTAAAGAAAACATTATTAAGATTGAATGATCAAAATTATTAAATAATTTGATTGATTTTGTTGTCGTCTTCCAATTCTAAGGTTTCACCTTGATTAACTTGGACTGATTCGGGTCGCACACATGACTTTAGTGGGTATGTCTCCCAACGAGTATTTTCTGTATACACAAAGACTCGAGCTTAAGACTTTACTTAAACGATATCAAGTTGTTTACCACTTGAACCAACCCAATTGGTATAATTTGATTATTTAACTTTTATATATGTGTTTTTATCTTCTCATACTTTTATATAAAATCATTAATAAAATAATTTAAAAAATTATTATTTAAGATTCAAACACATGATTAATAAAATTGTGTATAAATAGATTTTTATATAAAATACTTTCGCTTATACATGAATATAATAAAATTTAATATATCGTAAATATATGAATCCACGTATTACTTTATTTATTGAAATCTCAATTCCCAATATTATCCCTTAACTTTACCAACTACCAAATTTTATAGTCCATTAGGTGGAACAGTTTGTGCATGGTTAATTTAGGAAAGCTAAGCTGTCTAAAGGCACACCACAATGCACGTATTTATATTTTTAGGGTAAACTACGTAAGATACCACTTAACTTTAGGTAGTATATCATTTATACTATAAACTTTTAATTTCTCTAAGTATAGTATTTAACATTGATTTTAACCTCAATTATGTTATTGCGCCGTTAAAATCCAAACAGTGTGATGACATGGACAAAATGATATCGTTTGGTGTGGTTATTGTTCCCTAAAACAAAATCGTTTTAGGTATTGAACTTTAGTGGTGTATCGATTTTGTCACTAAACTTTTAAACAATTCACTTTTTAGCACTACAATTTTTCAACCGCCACTGATAGTCAATCATTCCCCGTCATTGATCGCCTTTCCTAGGAGAAACGATACCAAAATGTTCTCAAAATCGATAAAATTAAACAAAAAAATCTACCATTTTTAGGGGTTCGGATACTTTCTTAGATTTGAGAGGCTTGAAGTGTTTGTTTGAAAACATGAAGGTAAAAAACATTATTTCTACAAGACGAACTACATATCTCAAAAATAACCTCATCGGACGATCATCGGAAGATAACTGAGTATTAACACGTCAAACTTTTAAATGAATTTTCATTGCTTGTGATTGAGTTTTGTGGAAATCCAATCCTATGAGATGAAAGTTAAGTGAAATGAAAACGTTTTTGTACCGATTTTGTCGTAAAAGACGACTGATGATGGACAGTGATTGGCTGTCGACGACAGTTAAAAAACTATAATGCAAAAAATATAAATTATTTAAAAGTTTAGTAACAAAATCAATATGTTCCGAAGTAGTGTCACCAACTTAGTGCAAAACTAAATTACTATTACAACCTTATAAATGTATTCTTTTGCTTTTTTTACTTTGATTTTTGTATTCTTTACTAAAATAATAATTTATAATATAAAATGTTATTGAAAAATTAGATTTATTATAAGAAAATAAAATAAAGATTATAATAAAATAAAATTTAAAATAATAAATAAAATTGAAAAGAATCTAAACATATAAAAAATCAAAATGGAAGAAGCAAATAATTGTACTTTTCAATGGAAGCCTAAATCGCTAATACCTTTCAATTTTGTCATCAATTTCTGCCCCACGTGTGAAATTGTCATCCAAATTCGGGTCGCACACCGTTTTTTGATAGGCGAGTCTTCCAGAGAAATTTTCTGCTTTCATAATGACTCGAACCTGATATATTGCTTAAGCGATATCAAGCTGCTAACCACTTGAACCAACCTCATTGGTATCAAATTCATGATTTAGTATGTTGTTAATGTTTTTTTATCTTTAATGTTAAGATTTAGGGTTTGTGAGCAATCATATTTGATCGGTTGATCAAACTGCTCATGTTTATTCTTTATATTTTCTTAGGTCATGGGTTCTAGATCCACTTGGACCACTCCCCTTCCTTCCTCTAGAATCTCTCCTTAGTCCTTCCCCTACTCTCTATGTATAATTAAAATTATATTTAGAATTTGTCAAAAAAAATTGTGACAGTTTCGTTTAATAATGTGATCTCTTAAGATTGAATTTAATTTTTTTATGAGTATATTATGTCTTATTATTATATCTAACATTTATCGATGATAATAAAATGTTTTTAATTCTATAAGTGAAGTTCAGATGCTGTCAACGATTCAAATAAATTGAGTTTTCGAAGAGTTTGTTACGTGGTTGAAGTCGACATTAATTATTTTGATAGGTATAAAAGGGAGACTTACGATTGGACTTTAGATGAAAAGAGAAATATTTCATAACCAGAAAGGGTTCATTGCGTCGAGTTGATCCGAGTCTAGATTTAGTTTTGAGTTGATCCGATTTAATTTGGGCTTGTTTGACTTGAAATTGAATCCTAAAATTGACCAGACGAAAGTATGTGCTTACAATATTTTTTATAAAATTTAAATCTAAAAATCTTTAAAAAAATCAATATTTGTGATCCCAACTAATAAAATTATTCTATCTTATTATTTTACTAGGTGAATATTCATCTCTTTTCTACACGTAAATAAAGAGTGGGTAATTATTTGAAAGTTACTTTAAGATTGACGAATCTTATTAGTTGGACCATGAATGATATGGAGAACCAGATCCATCAAATAATTTCACCGTATGTAGAGAGCATTTTTTATTTGTTTGTTTATGCTTGAAGGTGTTCGTGTTCTTTTATCTATTGTTCATGAACATGTTCATTTATATGTTTAGAAATTGTGAAATTCAAGTCCAAAAATATTTTTGCCTTAATTGTTATATCAAAATGTAGTTCAACAGTGTTAAAGAGATTTTAAGGAAATCTAAAATGATAGAGTGATAGTCGACTTTAAGTGAATTTGTCAGTGTCTTGAATGGTTAAAGAAGACACTAGATAATAATAATTTCGATGACGACAACACATGAGATGAAACTATTAAAGATTTCTTTTTTTGTTAAGAATGTGATTAAATGGAAAAAAATACATTAATGACAAGTGGCAATCATATCAGTAAGATTTATTTCACATCAACATAAAATAATTTATGTCACTCTGAAATTTTTTTATTTAACACCAGAGTAATCAAAATAGAAGAATTCATAAATTTAGTGATTAAATTAAAATTTTCTAAGTTGAGTGATTAAAATTCGAACAGAATCAAAGTTGAACTATAAAAATGTAGTTTATCCATAATAGGTTAAGGGTTAATATAGTGGGAGCAAATTATATATAAGAGTAATAAACTCATTTTATTCCCTTTAGCATACAATAACCTACCCTAAACATCTCCTTTAAATAATCTAGTGATTATAAAATAGTATTTTTATTATTTTCTTGATCAATTGATAATACGTTCTTCGTATATAACTACTCAAACTTATTTTTTTTTATTAATTATTTATAATTTTCTTGATCAATTGATAATACATTCTCCATATATAACTACTCAATTTTTTTTATTAATCTGAGATAAGTACAATGTAATATCTGTTGTTCAAAGATAACTCAAACACGAGACCTCAAAGAATAACAATAATTCATTTACCATCGAAGTCACTAATTTAGTGTTAACTGTTCAAACTTAGAATCTATAAAAAAAGAATAACATTTTTCCTTTAACATTTAGTTGACCTAAAAGGGTTCAAAATCTACCCTAAAGCTTGAGTGTTAGCAAATGAGTGTAAAGAAAAAAAAATTCATTGAATTCACCTAGAGTTTAGTTTTTATTTCATTTTAATATTTCGTTCTTTAAAAAAGTAACTTCTGTTTTATTTTAGTACTCTGTTCAAAACTTAACGTTATGTTTTGAAAAAAAGTTAAAAGTCTAGATAATAAAACGGATCAAAACTGATAATTTAAGTACTAAATGCATAATTTATCCTAATATTTATTTATAATTTTCTTAATTAATTGATAACACACCCTCCATATGTAATTGTTGGAACAAAAAATCCAAAAAAAAACTAAACAAACAAACAATTTTCTTTTACCATGGAATAAAAGGTTCAAAATCTACCCGAAAGCTTGAGTGTAAAGAAGAAGTAGATATGCCATTAAAGAGGTGAAAGAGAGGCAGAACAAGAAACTCCCACTTTTGATGCGCGTGAACCGTGAAGAGTTGGGTGCAGAAAACAATGGCGGTAGAAGTCTAGAAGAAGAAGAGGAAAGGGGAACAAATAGGTCGGCTAAAAGTGTGGCAAAACCCTGACCCACTTCACCAAATGTTTCCCTCTGTCTGCTCCATGTCCCAATCGGAAAAAATAAACCAAAAAATATAAGAATTTTAACGAGGTTTGATAATATATTTACGTTCTCGGTGCCTAGACGATGTTAAAAATTTTATTCAATATCTCATAGGTTTATGTTACATCTTTATTTATAATACAAAACTCTGCTACATTTAATGTGGGTTGGATTAACTTACTTCTTTAACAACTCGAAACATTCAATAAGTCCAAGCAATGCTTGAACTTGTCTATCGTAACTGGCCATAATCAGAAGTTACTCAGACCATCGAATTTCGCAACTTCGAATTTTACTACTGACATCTGATACCAATTGTTGAAGAATCGAGAAAAGTAAACGAAAGAACACAATAATTTTAACGAGGTTCAGCAATATGTTTACGTTCTCGGTACTTAGACGACGCTAGAAATTTTATTCAATATCTCATTGGTTTAGGTTACATCTCTATTTATAATATAAAATCATAATATATTTATGAGTTATACTCTACCCCCATCTCCCTTAAATTCCCCCCTCCCCCTCCCCCTCCCCCTCCCCCTCCCAATAAACCCAGATTTCTTCCCGTTTTCCTCCTGTTTCAAGTGCTTTAGTTTGGAGCAAATCCTTGTGCTTTTGTTGTTTTTCGTGCATGGAGCTCCACCTTGGACTCTCTCTGCCAACTAATCCTTTTCTCCCCATCGGTTATGAGCTAAAACAGTGTCCGTTCGACGCTCATGTTAACGACGGCGCTGGCGGTTGCAGCAGCAGCGTTGGTGGCGGCGGAAAAAAACGAACCTGCTTTGACGACGAGACTCGGGTTGTTCCTAAAACTCTGCCTCTCTTGCTTTGGAACAATGACCAACCTAATGAAGAAGATGACCCGAATGATCTCCATGACAACTTTTCTTCTTCTTCTTCTTCCATTCTCAAGTACCCTTCACTCTCCTTTTCTTGGTAAATAAAAATAATAGAGAAAATCGCCTCAGTGACAAAAAAAAAGTTATAATATACGATTTTAACCAACTTTTTTTGGATTTGCCAAAATGACCAACAAAATCGCAACGCGAAATAAAAATCGCAACGCGATCCCCAGAATCGCAAATCAGTTTCCAAAATCGCAACGCGATTCTTGAAAATCGCGATGCGATAGTACAAATTCGCATTGCGATTTTCAATAATCGCAACGCGAATATGAAAATCGCAACGCGAACACATAAATCGCAACGCGTATCCGTAAATCGCAACGTGTATCCGTAAATCGCAACGCGTATGGGTAAATCGCAATGCGTATCCGTATATCGCAACGCGTATCCGTAAATCGCAACGATAATACATAAAATCGCAACGCGTATCCGTAAATCGCAACGTGTATCCGTAAATCGCAACGCGTATCCGTAAATCGCAATGCGTATCCGTAAATCGCAACGCGTATCCGTAAATCGCAACGATAATCCGTAAATCGCAACGCGTATCCGTAAATCGCAACGATAATCCGTAAATCGCAACGAGAATCTGTAAATCGCAACGATAATCCGTAAATCGCAACGAGAATCTGTAAATCACAACACTGAAATTTGGGTATATAACACTGAAATCATAAACTAAATCCCTAAATCGCAACTCATTCCATCTCCATCTATCACTCTCTCCGGCGACATCCGTTCCTATATCCAACGACATCCTTCCCAATCCGGCAACAGGTTTTAGTTTCGCAGCTCGTCTGTTTAGTAAATTAATTTACAACCATGAAATCATCTGATCATGTTTGGATAGATTTGTGTTTTGGAGGGTCATGGGATAATGTTCATGGTGTTTTACAATATATGCCTTTACCCATGAATCTTCAACTAAAATTGTCTTTACAAAAGTTAACTTATGAAACTCTAATGCTACGTGTTTCAAATAAATTGAATTTAGAGCCCCTAAGTGGATTTAGGCTATCTTATCAGAGAAATGGTAAAGTTTATTTGTTAACCGACAATGAAGATGTTGAACGATTCATTGCTTACATTAGTGTTTCACAAGATGATGTTACATTGTATGTTGTTGAACCTAGAAGTAGTATTGTTGGGTCAGTAGCGGGTAGTAATCAACTAAGTTTTTCTCAAAACCCACAACCTTTCTCTAATCCAAATCCCAATCAACTTTCAGCACCAAATTCCGGTTTTCGTATTGACCAGTTAGACGATGATGAGCCAACAGAAAAAATTGTGAGTACTAGTCAGTATTCGAAATTTGGTCTTGGTCAATATCCGGACTTGATATTGGTCAATACACGGATTTTGATGATGTTTCAGAAGAAGAAACAGACCATGTGTGTAATGATTTTAATATTGGTCAATACCCGAATTTTGATGATGAAACACCCGTTGCCGAGGAAGATGTTGTTGATGATAATGAGGAGGAAGTTACGACTGTGAATGAACATGTTGAACATCCATTCTGTAATTCATATAATCCTGAAGAAAAAAGAAGAAGAAAAAGTCCCCGAAGAAAAGAAAATGCCACGGGAGTATAACTGGAATATGCCAGAATTACTTCAGTTACCGGAAGAAGAGTTGGCAAAGAAAGCAGTTGATTGTTACACAAAAGTTATTCGTGTCAAGAAAGATGATTGTTTTGATACAAAGGAAGACTTGAAGATAGCTTTGTATACAAAATGTGTGGAAGATGGCTATCAACTAAAAGTTAACAAATCAAGCAAAGATCGTTTCGAAACAAGGTGTATGATTGACAAAAACTGTACGTGGCGTATGATTGCAAAGAGAATAAAAGATTGCAAAATGTTTCAAGTTAGGACTTTTATTGATAAACATACATGTTCAAGAACCCTCGTTTTTCCTCACCATAGACAGGCAAACAAAAAGGTGTTGGGTGGTTTTCTGGCTGAGTTAATGTTTTTGAATGGCAGGGTATATCGGGGACATGAAATTATGACTGACATGAATGCTCGGTTCAAGATTAGTATATCATATTCTCAAGCTTGGAGAGCCAAATGTTATGCCTTGGAATTGTTGAGGGGGTCGCCAGAAGCATCGTTTGCCCAACTGCCGGCTTATTGTCACAATTTAAAGCTGAAAAATCCTGGGTCGGTAACTCATATCAAAACAGATAGAGATGACGCTTTGAGTTGCTGTTTATCGCCATTGGTGCTACGGTTAGTAAATCAATATAATTTTGTTGACTCATTTTTGTTAGTTACATGCATTTCACATTTAAATGATTATATTTCTTGTGTATATTATTTTGTAGATTCGTTCGTTTATTACTTGCATGCGCCCAGTTATTATAGTTGACGGAGCACATTTGAAAGGTCGATACCTTGGAGTAAACTTATTAGCAGTAGCCATGGATGCTAACAATGGGATATTGCCAATAGCTTACGGGGTTGGCAAATCTGAAACCTCTGATTCATGGACATGGTTTATGGGGCATCTTAGGGATTGCATAGGTCCTATTAGCAATCTGACAATCATATCCGATAGGGCAAACTCAATTGACAACGCTGTTAGAAGGTGTTTCCCAGATGCTTTTCATGGACTTTGTGGTGTTCATTTGTATAGAAATCTAAAATCAAGGTCTGCTGGTATAAAAAAGCACAAATGGACATACTGGAAGGCTGTAAAAGCTTATCGGGAAGTGGATTTCAATAAGCATATAAATTGTTTAAGACGTGTTTTGCCTCAGTGTGCTCAAACACTAGAAGATGTCGGGTTTGAAAGATGGTCAAGAGTACATCAACTTGGAGCAAGATATGGTTTCATGACGTCTAATAGTGCAGAATCAATCAACGCTCTAAGTCGTCATTCCCGGAAATTACCCATTACTATGTTAATGGAGTTTTTCGAGCCTCTATTCAACAGTGGTACTACAAGAAAAGAAACCATGCAGGTATTATTTCTTTGAATTCGTAACTTATCATATTTATATATTTACTAAGTATTGTTATTTAAATTTACAGGAACATTGGAACATCGTGTTACACCATGGACTGAAAAAAAGATAACGAAACGTGTGTGAAGTCAACGTCATGGAGAGTTGAACCATGTTCAAACACTTTGTTTCAAGTACTGGATAATAACTTAAATGGGCTAGTCGATCTAAATGCAAAGACGTGTAATTGTATGAAATGGCAAACATCTGGTTATCCGTGTGGCCATGTTATAAAAGTTGCTCTTCATTTAAACCAAGATGATTCAAGCGCATACGCTATGGATTGCTACACTACAGAAGTTTATCGACAGACTTATGCCGAGATTGTCTACCCTATTCCACATCCTTCTGAGTGGGACATACCAGATGACTTACAAACAGTTTTGCCACCAGCCATGGACAGAAGGCTACCTGGCCGACCAAAAAGTCACGATCGTATACCGTCTAAGGGTGAAGAGAAGAGAGATCGACATGTAGTCGGTGCAAGGAAAGTGGTCATACAAGGTTGACATGTGGATCACCAGTGCCATCAAAATCATCTTTTCCTCTACCAAAATATGGATCCTCATCAAAATCCAAAGCTCATATGGTGTCAAGCAAAAGGCAATCATCTTTAAAATCCCAATCACGATTGGCTTCACCTTTTGAGACTGTTAACTTAGGTGATTTTTAAATGCAAACGTTGTATTATGTGGATTTTATGTGTGAACTTTTAACATTTTCAGTTGAATTAATGACTCAGGCCAACCATTTTGACTTAACCAACTCTTGTTATTCAGTTGTTATCACTATTAGGCATGCATTTGACTATCGCAACACGGAAAATACAATCGCAACGCGAAATGAAAATCCCAACATGAAAATCGCAATGCGGAAATGAAAATCGCAACGAGAGAATCGCAATGCGAAATGAAAATCGCAATGCGAAATGAAAATCGCAACGAGAGAATCGCAATGCGAAATGAAAATCGCAATGCGAAATGAAAATCGCAATGCGAAATGGAAATCGCAATGCGAAATGAAAATCGCAATGCGAAATGAAAATCGCAACGAAAGAATCGCAATGCGAAATGAAAATCGCAATGCGAAATGAAAATCGCAACGAGATAATCGCAATGCGAAATTATAAACGCATTGCGATTTTCATTTCCGCATTGCGATTTTCATTTCGCATTGCGATTCTCTCGTTGCGATTTTCATTTCGCATTGCGATAGTCATTTTGCCTTCAACATAATGCAGATTGAAATCAACAAAATCAACCATTACATTTCAATCAATTAAACAAGCACAAATAAGAATTATGTTCGCATCAATTACACAAATCAACTTTTACAAATCATCTTTTACAAATCAATTAAACAATCAAAAAATAAGCAATAATTCTTATTTCCGATCATCTACTATTGAATCAACTTTTACAAATCAATTAAACAATCAAAAAACAATCAATTAAACTATTGAATCAACTTTTGCAGCTCGACATCATTTTCACGCAGTTCACTTCTGAGATTAACCTGCAGAAACCAAACATTTGTTCAGACAACACTTTCTACAAATTATTGAATTCTAGTTACTTAACCAAACATTTTCAAACCAAAAGTATATAAACTTACCAATTGTTTATGGACATTTTTATAACGCGGATGCAGGTAGGCAGCGTCTCGTATATATCGATTTAGCCATATAATGCCGAAACCACAAGCCTACTGCAGCTTTATCTCTATCGGTGGGAGGTAGATACTTGATGCTTCCCGTCGTCAAACGCTCCAACGCCAAGCATACGAGAGGACCACAATCTCCTCTGGCTCCGCTCGTTTGTTGTGGCGCGGTCTCGTCTCTAATAACTGTAATATTGAGCTTCTTTGGCTTCTTGTTTCCAGAACGAGTCCAATAATTGATCGCATCCAAGAATTTAGCCAAATGAGAGCTCCATCCCTTAATAACATCTCTTAAATCAGCCAATGATATGTAATTTATCATGCTGTCATACACTATTGTCTTAAGGGATGGGAGCTGAAGCTCGACGAGAATCCAATGTTTACGTTCCAAAACAGGGATAAACACCTGCAATCATAAGTAATAATTCATTCATTTGCGCACTTATTTCATAAAACCTTTAAACTCAATCTAAAATAAATACTAACCTTATCGACCTCCCACCATGCAGGATAAAGTTTAGCTTGTCCATTGCCCAAATCAAATGATTCATCTCGTGCATTCTTCAAGTGAACGGCGTGAAAAGACGTCGGCATTATTGTATATCGTATATTTTTATTTTTCTTAAGTTTTCTTATTATTAGAAGACGTGTCACCCACGCATCGATATGCTGTTTTACAAAAAAAGACATATATTAGTGACTTACATAAATTTAAAAAAAAAATTAATCAAATTGAAATATAAGAAAAATATAAGACTTACCCCCCATCGAAATAGCCATTGTCTTCGACCCCTAATAATACGCCCCACCAAGGCCGTTCAAGCAACAAAAAGATATCATCGGTGAGCTTGCATATGTCAGTGAAACACCCCTTGCTCCGCTCATGTAGATAAAAATCAACTGCGGTCTTAGCCCAAAGGGTGTTATCCAAAATTGTGTCCGGTAGTTGTTCCCTCTCCTCTTCAGATACCGGTATGGTACTGGCCGGTAACTCATACGAGAGCCAACTTGAATCCATCATGTCCGGCACGACAGAGGGTTTCTCAAGAAGCCTACATATGACGCCATGTGAATCGGGCTCTTGAATGGTGGGAGGGACCTCTTCAATGATGACAGTGGCCTCTTGAACGGTGGGAGGGGACTCTCGAGGAATGATATGGGGGGCCTCTTCAACGATAGGAGTGGACTCTTGAGGGATGACAGGCGAGTCGGGCTTCTTCTTGCGGTGTCTTCGCACTATTGGGGTGTACGGAGACTTAATAGCACGTGCACGCTGTCTGATGCGTGAACTCCGTCGTGCAAGCATAACCCGACGTAAAGCATCCACTCTATCGGGCCGCTAAATAATTAAATACAAAAATCAGTAAATAAACAGACATGATATTTAAACAGTGAAAACAAAGACAAATATGTTTCAAACTTGCATTGTATTCACCCAAGTCATTATTCTATCATAGTTCACAAAATGCATCAGATAACAAAGAAAAATATGTTTCAAACTAATACCCTGAAGTTAGTATTTGTTTTGTCTATTGGTTGAAGTAAATTTATCCATTCAAGTTTCAATTTGCAGAAGAAGAAATAGTTTACTTTCGCAACACGAAACTTAAAATCGCAACGCGAAACCAAAATCGCAACGCGAAATGAAAATCGCAACGACAGAATCGCAATGCGAAATGAAAATCGCAACGAAAGAATCGCAACGCGAAATGAAAATCGCAATGCGATTTTGGTTTCGCGTTGCGATCTTGTCGTTGCGATTTTGGTTTCGCGTTGCGATTCTGTCGTTGCGATTTTCATTTCGCGTTGCGATTTTGGTTTCGCGTTGCGATTTTAAGTTTCGTGTTGCGAAAGTAAACTATTTCTTCTTCTGCAAATTGAAACTTGAATGGATAAATTTACTTTCAACCAAAAGACAAAACAAAGACAAATACTATTTCACAGTGTTAAAGAATACACAGTTTAGCAGAATTGGCAGCAACCGAACAAATTTACTTTCAACCAAAAGACAAAACAAAGACAAATATATTTCACAGTGTTAAAGAATACACAGTTTAGCAGAATTGGCAGCAACCGAACAAATTTACTTTCAACCAAAAGACAAAACAAAGACAAATATATTTCACAGTGTTAAAGAATACACAGTTTAGCAGAATTGGCAGCAACCGAACAAATTTACTTTCAACCAAAAGACAAAACAAAGACAAATACTATTCACAGTGTTAAAGAATACACAGTTAGCAGAATTGGCAGCAACCGAATAAATTTACTAAGCAATCTAAGTGAAATGGCTAATCTAAGTGAAATTACGAGTAAATTTATCATTAAGTTAAATATGGAAAATCTTAAACTTACCTCGTTGCGTAGAGTATGAACCTCATTCTGCAACGATACTATCATCTCACGTAGAGCGGCAACCTCACCACGTAAAGTTGACACCTCCACACGCCATGCACCATCGTTATCGCGTAGAGTACCGATCTCCTCACGCAAGGCATTGACCTCATCACGTAACTCCCTTGACTCATCCCGTTGAGGTGGAGGTGGAGAACAGGGAGATAGGAGTCGTGGCATCTTTGCCGGTCGCCTATCATGAGGTGATGGTGGAGAAGAGGCTCGATGATGTGACGGGATAGGTGATGGCTCTCGTTCTAGAGGTGTATAGTCGTCACGATCGGGTGATGGCTCTAGGTGAGGTGATGGCTCTCGAATTGGAGGAAGTGGATGCTGCTCATCATCCGTGCCATCAAAAAAACTCTGACTAGCTTGCCACCAATCAGTGGCAAGCTCTTCCTCCGTGGGTGACAGTCTTTGTAATGGAATGTTGGCCTCCTAAAATATAAAACTCAAACAAAGTTAAACGTCTACTATTAATAACTTGTTTATATATTATATGAAAGTATTTGTGTTAACTTACATTATTTATTGTGGCATATGGTATTAAGTCTTCCCAATCCAACAGAGTTTTCCTCTTCCAGGAAATAGCCCTGGGAATATCATTTGACGTTTTTATTGCATATGTACGCATGCTGGGGAAAGCCTCGAATATCCAAATCTACAAACAATATAATAACAAAATTAGTAATTGTTAATAATTAATTATAATTTTAGAAACATTATATAGAATTCTTACCTTAAAGGCCCAAACAAAGCTTGACAAAGTGTATTTGGACCCATCGCCCCGCAAACTTTTGCGGTCATCAAAGGCAGACGACAACTTAGTCCAGGTAGCTTTCCATATATACGAACCCCACGGAAACAGATTCCATGCATTCAGGTCCTCTACCAATATTATTAGCTCCCGATGAATAGGTTGTCTGACCTCTCTGCCTAAAAAGCCGGCATACACAAGTAGTAGAAGGCATACTCGGACAACATCGACGTCTTCCATCCGAGTGAAACCAGCTTTCTTATTAAATAATTTCTTCAGGTCGTCGACATGTAGGTTCGGCTTCTCCATTGACTCATCCGGAAAAACCCGGGATAACCATGATGGGCGGGCGATATGACGAGTGTACCGGCCTACATCATCGTGTCCGAATCGTAGACCAGTGATTAAGCAGAACTCCTTCCGCCCAAAGCAAGTATACGCTGGTGGAAAATGAAACCATATCTCTTCCTCACCACGTTGTATACTGTCGGGTAGATTTGATGTCATGGTCTGAAGCCACAAATGGGTCAAATTAGCATCTCCACCCGGATGCTGTACTCTCAGCCATGGCCCGAAGCAGGTTTCCTCAAACAATTGTCTTTGAGCAGGTGAAAGCTTCTTTGCAATTGTAGTGGCCAGGCTGACTTTATTTCTCAAGGTCAATTGAGCCGAAAAAAATTTCTACAAAAACAATAAACATACCAAGTTAGATATACCAAAAACTACACTGTGAAGATATACCAAAAACAATAAACATAAAAAGTAGTAGTTTATTCTTGAAACTAAAATTTGCAACACTGTTTTGTCTTTTGGTTGAAATGAAAATCGCAACGAGAGAATCGCAACGCGAGATGACAATCGCAACGAGAGAATCGCAACGCGAAATGAAAATCGCAACGAGAGAATCGCAACGCGAAATGAAAATCGCAATGCGATTTTGGTTTCGCGTTGCGATTCTCTCGTTGCGATTTCATTTCGCGTTGCGATTCTCTCGTTGCGACAGTCATTCTCTCGTTGCGATTTTCATTTATCTCGTTGCGACTCTTCTGCAAATTGAAACTTGAATGGATTGCATTACTTCAACCAAAAGACAGAACAAAGACAAAGACAAATACTAACTTGAAAATCGCAACGAGAGAATAGCAACGCGAAATGAAAATCGCAACGACAGAATCGTAACGCGAAATGAAATCTAAGTGAAATGGTTAATCTATTATTGAAATGACCAGTAAACTTATCATCAGTTTCAATATGAAAAACCTACAAAAATGCAAACATTTCAAAATAAAAATAATTAAAAAAACTAACCCTCGGAGGTTGATTTTCCATTTCTGAATATTGTGAGGGATTTCTGACCGTGAATGGTTGTGAGGGATTTCGCCGGAGATGGGGACGGAAATCTTCGGAGATGGGGACGGATTTCTTCGCCGTAGAGAGTGAGAGATGGAGATGGGACTGAGTTGTGATTTTAGGTTTTAGGTTATGAGTTGCGATTACGGGATTTTGTCTTAATATTCTTTTTGTAATTTGAAAATAAAATACGCGTAGCGATTATAATGGCGCTTTAAATATCGCGTTGCGATTTACGGATACGCGTTGCGATTTTATGTATTATCGTTGCGATTTACGGATACGCGTTGCGATATACGGATACGCATTGCGATTTACCCATACGCGTTGCGATTTACGGATACACGTTGCGATTTATGTGTTCGCGTTGCGATTTTCATATTCGCGTTGCGATTATTGAAAATCGCAATGCGAATTTGTACTATCGCATCGCGATTTTCAAGAATCGCGTTGCGATTTTGGAAACTGATTTGCGATTCTGGGGATCGCGTTGCGATTTTTATTTCGCGTTGCGATTTTGTTGGTCATTTTGGCAAATCCAAAAAAAGTTGGTTAAAATCGTATATTATAACTTTTTTTTAGTCAGTGAGGCGATTTTCTCAAAATAATATACTTATGGGTATTTTACTTTTTATAATTGAATTGAATTCTTTGGTTTGGATTTTGGAAAGGGATGACGGAGAGGGTTTAGTGGGGTGGCCGCCGGTGAAAGCCTGGAGGAAGAAGCTCCGCCGCAACGTACACAGCGGCAGACCAAATAACAATCGCATGGTGGCGGCTACGACGGCGGCGAAGTGTGGCTCAACCTACGTGAAAGTGAAAATGGAAGGGAATGCAATTGCCAGGAAGATTGACATCAGTGTTCATCGCTCCTTTGAATCGCTTACAGCAACCCTGATGAGAATGTTCGATATATGTAAGTACAAAAAAAAACCCAGAACTTTATCGAATTCAAACATGGAGATTAATTGAATCCAAACTTGTTTTTTTTTTGGTAACAGGCGACGAGCATTTGCAGAAGAGCTTTAAAATTGCTTATCAAGACAGAGAAGGTGACTGGTTGCTAGCTGAAGATGTTCCCTGGAGGTACTTTTCTTTTCCCCATCACATTTTCCTTCTACTGTTTGGTTACCTAGAAACTACTGGGAAAATGAAACTCTGGGTTGTTTTCAGGACCTTCATCCGTTGCTTGAAATGCATCAAGTTGATTCGAAGCGGATGTTAGCAGCAACCCCATCGAAGATCAAAGTGTCGGGCCATGTTCAAGCTTTTCTTGTGTGTAAAATCTAAATTATCAAATACAATCGGAAAAGACCTAAGCCATGTTTAAGCTTTTCGGTTCCTATAAAATCGAGGAGGATCGAAACCTATCGAGTTCGAGTTTCATATTCATCCTCAGTTCATTCCTATAAAGTCATATCGAACCGAAAATCTTTAATCTCAGGTTCAGATTTTACGTTTATTCCTAATTCGTTTTTAGTTGTTTTTTATAAAATCGAGTTTAATCAAAATTCATCAAATTCGAATATGATGTACTTCCCTAGTTCAATGTGAGCCATCACTAATGTAAAGGACTTGAGCTCACTACTAAATGGTCTAATAAGTTTATTGCTGCCTTTGTACTAATGTTTTACCATGTTAAACACGTTGATCCTTGTATAAAATGTATTAACATAATAATTTATAGGGTAATTTAAGCGTTTAGTAGTTAAACTATCAATTTTAGTATCTAAACTTTTATTTTTTTCAAAATCATATTTAAAATTTAGTTTTTGTTTCATTTTAGTACTCCGTTCAAAATTTAACGTTGAGTTTTAAATTTTTTGAAAGTTTAGGTACTAAAAATGGATCAAAACTGATAGTTAAGGTATTAAACGTTTTAAGTTTTTAAAGACAGTGTACTAAAATGAAACAAAAATCAAACTTTAGACATAATTTTGAAAAAATTAAAAGTTTAGGTACCAAAACTTATAGTTTGTGTACTAGATGTGTCTTAATTTATAATCATTAATGATCAAATCACTAAAATAATAAGAATGATAATATTATCAAAAAGGGCCTAAAATCCCTTAGCCTATTCATTCGAGGACCATGTGCATATTAATTCACTCAAACATAGGGCTGTAAATGAGACGAAACAGATCGCGAGCTATTAGAGATCGACTCGGTCAATGCTCGATAAATACTCAGATCGAATGGACTCGACTCGAACTCGAGCTCGACTCAAATTTTTAACGAGCTACTTGATACTCGACTCGAAAAGCTCGTGAGCAGCTCGAAAATATAATATATTAAGATTTTTTTAAAAATAAATTATTAATAATAATAATATTTATGTGTTGATTTTTTTAAAAAAATACAATAAGGCTTTCATGTATTTAAGGTTCGAGTTCGAGGATTCAATATTGTTAAGTTTAAGATTTTTTTTTCATTTCGAGCTTTTTCGAGCTGCTCACGAGTTATAGTTTAGTATTTCGAGTTCGAGTCGAGCTTAAAAATTTTAAGCTCGCGAGTTTTCGAGTCGAGTCGAGCTCAGCAATACTCGAGCTCGACTCGACTCGTTTACACCCCTACTCAAACATGTTAATTTCTAAAAGTTTGAAATAATAATATTTGGTCGATAATTTTTTTTAATCTCAAAGCTTTTCGCCTTTTCCTTGTTTTGGGCTTTAAAAATGTTTCGTAAATATTATGAAAAAAAATTAATTAATAAGAAAAAAAATTAATATTTTGTAGCTTTAGAAGAACATCTCAAATTTGATAAAAATGAACTCAAAATGAAACAAAATATAGGATAAAAGGAAAGTTAAATTACGTATTATTATCTAAATTATCAGTTTTAGTTTATTTTAATACATAAACTTTCATTTTTTTCAAAATTGTGCCTAATGTTTAGTTTTCGTTTCGTTTTAATACATCGTCGTTAAAAAACTTAACGGGTGATCTGCGCGTGGCACTTTATTATGGATAAAATGCATCGTTTATCACTCAACTATCTTCTGACAAAAATTATTAATAAAAGTAAATTAGAGTGGTTAAAACAAGAGCAATTTGAAAGTTGAATAATTAAATTGAAATTTTTTAAACTTAGTACCAAAATAGGGGTGAGAAAATAATTGAGGATGAATGATGTAATATTAAATATTATCGAGTTTATCGAGCTGACAAATCATACTTTATCATTTATACTTTATTCAAAAATTTTAATTTAAATCGAATCAAATTTTCAATCGAATTGAATTTCGATCACATCAAATTATCACCTTATTTGTGCAAAATCTTAAACATCAATCAATTGGAAGAGTGGATAATTGCCAAAATAATGTCTTCAAAAAAATTTTCCAAAATAATCCATCTCGAGCTTTATTAATCAAAATAGGTTAATTCTCACAATACCTTTAGAAGATTTCAGGATTGAACTGAAGACTCCAAAACTACTATTCGTCTTTATCCTTGACAAAACTAAAATCGTATGGTAATCTATGCGTCTTCCATATGAAAAAAATTGAAGTCACACAGTGTTTCTGATATCCTTTCCTTCAGGGTCGGTCTAATAAATTTTAATACTCTGGGTGAGATAATAATTTTATGTCCTTATACTTGTATCGTATAATAGACAAAACATAAATATTTTTTTAAACAAAAATGTAATAGAAATTATAGTCAAACAATATCAATACTAATACAAACCAAAACCTACAAGGCTACAAATATCACCTAAAACGATGTCTTCGTGTATTTTTTAAAGCAAAAACCTCTATTAAGGATGTCTCTCAAACATGCTGCCATGGATTAAGGCTCATCTGGTACATGTATTGGGCCGGACCTACTTTCTTTAACATGTAGTAATGGTTTTAGATCCCTACATGGGCAAGGAAGCCGAAGGAAGAGACTAAAGGCAAATCATAAGTTGGTAAAAGAAGTAATGTTTTTGTGGTTGAGCCGTCCTATGGTTTATAAGACAGCTACTCGGATTGACTCAACCATTGTCCCTCCATTTTTGAGTGCAATAACTATATAACTTTTAAGACTCTGCGCTCTGTTTCGTGGAAGCTTTCTGGTTTACCCTCTGTCAGGTCACTCAAAATTTGTAGCCTTTTAAGCCCTACGGTTAGGGATTACAATTTGACCAAAACTTAATGGATCCTTATCTGATTTAGTTTTATAGGATAGACCATTTTTTTTAGGTTTGAATCAAATTTTGTAGGGAATAAGTTCGGGTTGGATTTTTGGGCAAAAAATATCTTACCTCATCCGATTCGAGAATATTGATATAATTAATTATTATATATTTAAGGTTAGGACATGATCTACTTACACTATGTAAAATTAATAATTTTAAATTAACTTATAACCATTATATTTAAATATATAAATTACTTAGATTTAATTAAAATTTATAATTCATAAATAAATATCTTTTAACTCACACTAAAACTATCTATTTTTACTCCAATTCTAAATCTCAAACACTAAAATATACCAAAATAAAATAGATATTGAAATATGGCATGACTAAAGCATGGATTAACCCTTAGATGATCCAAAACACATCAATTTACACCTAAACACACGTCAATTAGCTTATGGATCCCATTTATAATATTTTTAAAGGGGTTTTACCCCAATATTTGCACAACAACTCTACCCTCAAATTCAGCTAACCCTATCTATCCCGTCGCCACTAACATCCCCTGATCTCAAAGTCAATCTTCTAATAATCTGAGCTAAGCCAATCAAAACAAGCAAAAGCACTAAATTCTTAACAAGAATACTAACCGCAGCCGACCACCGAGGTTTTTTCGGTCTTGTTAACTGCTCCTTTCCGCGACCGCCGCAGCAGTCTGTTCCAGTTTTGACCTTCGGCAACCTTTCTAGCTTGCATCGAGTCCTTTGACAGCTCGGCACGACCCGAATGGTGGCTCAGATCTCTACTGTAACCGACAGTGTTGATGTACAATACGGGATGATCAACGACCACCGAACTATGATCTTCATCGAGGAATTCGTTGTGAGTCTCGATCGTCGACTCACGCCGTGTATTCGATCGTCTAGAAGCACCGGACCACCGTTTATAACACTTGGTGGGCGACTTCGAGTGATGAGCCAGAGCAAGGAATATGAGATTTTCATCATCATCATCATCACCACATAGCTGGGCATAATTTAAAACACGATGATGATGATGCACAGATCAGTTAGCAATCAAAATCATCACAATCTTCTGGTAAGGATTGATTTGATCATCTCCCGCAATTCTCTTCAAGGCTCAGTTCCCGGTTGGTTCTGGTCTATGTCCGCACTTGTCCATGTCAATCTGTCGAGAAATAGGTTCGGAGGAACGATTGGGTTCGAGCCCACCTCGGGGATTGGCTCGTTTTCGTCGGTTCGGGTACTGAACCTTTCGACTAACAGGTTCACCAACTTGGTTGAACTCTCTGGTTTTCCCAACCTTGAATTTCTTGACGTTTCAAACAATGTTCTTGGTGTTCTTCCCGATGGATTCATCAACCTTACCAAGCTTCAGCGTCTGGATATTTCGAGTTGCAAGATTTCTGGCAGTGTAAAGCCTGTTTCCACTCTTCATTCATTGAATTACTTGGATGTATCAAATAACTCCATGAATGATATTTTCCCTTTCGATTTCCCTTCTGCTAATAACTTGAAGTTTCTAAATTTCGCTCAACCCCCTCCATCCTTCCCGTTGGGTTTTTTTTAACCCCTTTTATCCTGATTTCCTCTGTCCATTTGAAGGAAAGAGAGCCCGAAATTGATGGCCAAATAATGGTGGGCGTTGGCAATTATGGGAGTAGTGGTTTAGTGGGTAGGTTGTTTGAGTGGGTGAGGTAATGGTGGGTAGTATATGGGGCCAACAAAAATAAATAAATAAAATTATTAATATAAAAAATAAATATTTTTGTAGATCCGGACAAAAACGAGTGTCTACATATGTACACTTAAATAATTAAATTTTGAATAATTTTTATATAATTATTTTAAATTTGGACCGATCGATAAAAGAACCTTAATTTTGTCAAGCTTATGAAGTTGAGCTTGTTTTTTAAGGCTTGTATTATATATATGTATTTGAAGTATTTTGTTAGTCAAAATAAATATATATGTTTATCTTTTTGATCAAAATAGGTATCTAAAGTATTTTTTTGGTCAAAATAAGTGCTTAAAATATTCAATTTTTTCATCTAAATTCTAAAAAAAGTTTATATG